ATTATAAATAAAAAAAAAACGATTAATTTTTGAATGGGTCGGTGACACATCGCGTTCGGGTGTTTACGGGTCGGCGAACTCTAATATTTTTCAATAATTTCAATGTTCACGGACAATTGGCTTTGGCACTGGTAGCAATTAGATCAATTCTTTATCGCCTGCGAAGAGATACAAACAATATGAGACTTATTGGGATGCAACTTCGATTTTCCTCCTAACAAAGTCCAAAAAGTTATCCACCAGTAACTATAGTTCTAGTTAAAAAAGTTTAATTAAAGTATGTAATATTCATTATTTAAAAACACTCTTATATCTTCTGTAGGTGGGCTTTCAGACCTGCCTAATCAGTAATGAATAATAAATTGTTTAGCGGATGCAGCAGAGCTATTGTTCAAATGCGTTTAATCCGTTAATTTCAATTAGACCAGGCGCCGTTCAACAAAAAAGCTCTCCCACTCTCGTTTAGATGACATACAAATTTGTTTAAATAATTCACGATGTAGAAATTCCCTTCGGGAACGACCCTAATGGATTCGCTGCAGACTGCTTTTAAATTTTAGATTTTTATCTGCGGTAAAACCACCTACTATTTTTACTAATTCATACTTTATAACTTCCCTTCGGCTCGCTGCGTTTCTTCCAATTTATAAAATATATAGGTCGCGATTAATGATGAAATTTTTTATCGATGAACTTCCGCTCTGCCAAAAATATTGACGGGACCTCCGATAAGCGATCATTTTTTATGCGAATAAGAAATGAAATTTTCGCTGGATATTTTTCTTCCGGGCTTTCCCGATTAGGAGGGCTCTCCGATAATGCTGCAGTGTCATCAATTGGCATTACGATTTGCATAGTCCCATGAAAATGAGTTTCCACGGCAACCGGAGAAAGAAGAGACCGGAGAACAGCTACAGAAAAGCGAGTGGAAGTTGAGAAAAGCGAAAAGCTATCGCCCCCTCGGCACCCAGACCGTATTGAAGTTTCACGTAATTGACTCTTTATATTTTAGGTCGATTCCTTTACGATAAATAATGGATATACTCGTAGCTTCCAATAAGGTTAGTAGGTGGATATTCTACTGGTAGTGGAATACATATCATTTTAATGACACAATAGTCAGTTATATACAGTGAATTATAAAATTTTGTGCTCAATATTTCGCTTTTATCAGTCCCAGGCCATCGAACTCGATTATTTTTCCTAAAATATTTTGTAATAATCAAATTTTTATAGCTACACGCGCCCGAGAATAATTAGTAATATCATTTAAATATTTGATTGGATCAGCTCCAGTACGTGCTCATTTCGAAAAATCTGAATGACAATGAAAGAAAACAATTCAATTGTAGAAAGGTAACGCCAGCTGAACGTGACGCGTACAGGCCATGAAAATAGAAAAATGCCGCGTCTAGTAGATCAAAAAAGGTGCGCCCAATCAATCAAATACGCGCCCAAACGGAAGCGTAGACAAATTACGGGACTATGGCCCTTTTTACATGTACCGGAAACCAACACGCTTACTGCTATTTGTGCCAATGAACCTGAATTATGCATGAACTTGCCAGTCTCATTCATTAACGATTTCATTTACGATTTCATTAACAGCATATAAGATTTTCAACCCCCGATTGCAAAACAATCTTTCCGCCTGGTTGGAAACTATCCGCTAACAAGACATCTCCTGCTTGCTATTGATTTTTTTATCACTATCGAATGGCGCCAGGACGCTGAAACGATCGTATCCCGCTGGAAGGACGCCGTCGAGTACGGCGATTATAGCGAATATCCGCCGAGACACAGAGCTTTCGGGTCAATATTGAAAGAGGAAGAACTTGTGAGTTATTGCATAACTAATATACACGTGTAGCGGGAATTAAAAATTACAATAGACCATTGTTCGATTCGAAGCGGTATAATTAAATCGCTTCTTAAGAACCAGCCCAAATTGCATTTGTGTTTAATGTTAGGCCGGACTTGTCGATGATGACAAGCTTTACTTTTTCATGTTCGGATATCTTTGACCCCGATTCGAAGCTATTAAAAACTTGATATATGTAATAATTCACTGGCGAAATAAAATCGACAGCTGGGCTTATGAGTTTTTACGACGTACTACTAAATGTTTGTGTAAACATTATCGGACAAGTGAAACTCAAATATTTCGGTTTTTATGATCGAAATCGAAATTTTTGATGATTTTGTTGGAATTATATAATGCTTTCTCCAATTCACATATTTTCGCGATTTTGGATAACTGCTTTTTACAATTTACCAATTTCTTTTAAAAGTCATGTAATCTGCAAAACAAATATCCTCATCTCAATCAGATAGGTGTTTCCTTTAAGCAAGGTGAAGGATGCGGGCGGCATGGTTAGGAATATTAATAGAAAAAAAACTTTTTTATCTGGACAAATCATTAATGAATTATTTATTGAAAAATGGCAACAACCATCCGACGTGTCGAAAGAAATGAAAATATTAGTGGCGCCGTAAAATAACGTAACGTACATTTACAAGGTGATTATTGGCATTAAAACACACATAAATATAGACAAAAGGTATAAAATTAAGCGTCTAACAAAACAAACCGCAAGTTTTAAATTTCGTCTAACAACTAAGATCGAAAGATACGGAATCCTTTTCCTAAAAGGCATTTTTTACCAGATTATCGAAAAACAATACACCTGTCTTCGACACGATAAAGATCACGGATTTTTACTGTCAGACATCCCAGGTGTCTATAAAAGGGTCTAGAGATTTGTCAGTGTCACGGAAGATATAAAACTTATGCCTTAAATGTATGTTGACATGTTCTTAACGAGGTATTACAAACTACTGTTCTAAATTCTGATGTCGACGGTGATAGCAGTAAATTTTGGATAACCTCGTATGGAAAAACGTATAACTGATTAATTTATAAACGGGCATTGTGAAAGCACAATGAAACTCTTTGGTTCAACAACATACAATTAAGCAAAAACGGACAGCAATAATTGAATCTTTCGGTCAATGTTTGCATTCAATTTGTAGTGCATTTTAATCGATTCATTTCACTTTAATTGAAAAGCGGTTTAATCTAAATAAAGTTTTAACTAGTATTAACAGAGTATATTTGAGAGAATAACAATTTGTACGAACCATAAAAATTCTGATTCCAGATAAGTTCAGTATCTGACCTTTTCCTATGAGATAATCTAGTTAGAATACATAATAGAATAGTTTACTACTGTCTGCAGACTTATGTGAAATCATTTTCATCGGTTTGTTATCTTCACGACCCACTTTCGCGTCTGGGTGGTCTCCGTACGAATACAGGAAGGTTGAATAGGGTGTTAATCGGTTGAAACAATGCCTTTTATAATAACATTAATAGCTCCACGAGTTATCAAGACGTAATTTCGACCTAATTATTTATTTGTAAAGAAATATTGCATTAACAAAAGACTGGATTGTTGTATTAATATGCAAAATATGAATTAATAATAACGAATTTATTGTATTTATGAATGAATACTTGAATACTTCTCTATTGATTCCCATATCGGATGTTTCCTCGTTCCATCGCGTTATCATGCTATTTTATTAAGGTTGAGAATAATAAAGAAAATTGCGAGCTCGGCGAAAATGCCATTCCTGTCGTCTCCAGGTTTGCATGCTCCAATGAAACAGGGAAAACACCGCGGGAAATATCGAGTCGCATAATAATGTTTCGTCGTCGACCGATGAAATTTTCCAGATTATTTTAGACGAAATACCTTTGAAATTACTTTGAAATAACGTAGAGATTACACCTCTGAGTAATCCTATACACATGCCAATCAGTGAATTACATAAATTACATCCCAGCCCGTACGTTAAAAAAAGCGACTGTAGCATTTAACGCATTCCCAGACCTTCCATTACAATCTCACAATTTGCTTATTGGTAATTTCAAGCACACCAATCACGTACGAAATTATCCAGATATGCAAGATTGCAAAAAATGTATAGCAACTCCTCAGCAATCATCTGCCTAAGGAGATGCAATATTATTTTAATTAGCGAAGGTTCTGTTAATATCTTAAAGTGAAATTTCTTCAAATGAAGGCAATAAACGGGCAGCAAAAATAATCCAGGAAATAATCGCCCGGTGTAAATTCGGGATGAGTGTTCAATGTTGTGACAAACTGAAGGCCCAGCGTGGCCGTTTCGTTGGCAATAGTCCAACGAACTACACACTACACCCATAGCTTATGCAACGTTAACGCGTTTGCTTCACGTCTGCTTATTTTAATTCCGAAACGGCTTTTCGAATGGCGTTTCTGAGTTACCATGTACCCGGAATTCGTAATAAATTTGGCCGCAAAGAAAAATATGCACGGATGATATTAAAGTTGCGCGATATTGCGGACATGTTCGCGCGTTAGAAGAGGTTGGAACGTTGAGTAATAAATAATTAACGTACTGGAAATTAACGATTAAAAGGTCCGTGCATTTGAATTTCGAAGCTTGCATTTAAATAGTATGTGAATAATGATTACTTCCTTGGAGCCTCCATAATGCCCAGTATGCTCTTTTGTGGTTCCTGTAATTGTAAATGGCTCGCACAGTTATATTTTCCTGACAGGTAAATTACTTGTTGTGGTTTCACGGTTTTTTTGTCGGTTCTTTCAAAAATATAAAATTACAAAATCTCCATGCGCTGTCACATCAACCAAAAATTGTATCACATAAACTAAGCCTATATACCTCTTTTTTCTTGCTACTAAACCGTTGCTTATTGTTGTGTATTTACAACCTTATTAAAATATTTTTTATTAAAAAAATCCGAATGCCTACACGAGGTACACGACTCAACAACAGTTTTCTTCGTAACACTATTGTTAGAAGTCGGTTCTATTAATAAATAGTATTCACAAGCGTTGAAGATATTCAAACGTGGTTAGAATGGAATTGAGGCTTTCATGATTTATAAGTTATTTTATTGATCTTACAATAAACAAACCAGCATACATACCAACATACATGTATGCATTTATGTATATCAAAGAAATTAAAATTTACACATTACCTATAAGCTCATATATTCTGTGTTTATGAAATTAAATATTAATAGATTTGAAGGATTAATCCTTTAATAATTCAACAAGAATAATTGCAATTACTAAATGAAGACATGAATTAATAATTGATGCCGAGTTGTGTGTAGTAGTTTCAACTGACTGCTGTGTTACTGTCCCATTTTCAGCACTACTATCGGTAGTGTAATTTCCTGTTATTGCATTTTCTGTTGCATTCTGTGCTATTGCACTTTCTTTTGGCGCATCCTCTTGAGTTATATCCTTTTCAGTTACACCCTCTTCGGTTACACCCCTATCAGTTACACCTCCAGTTGCTGCACTAGCTACTGATCCACTCTCTGCTGTTACACTATCTTCATTCATTGTTGCGCCCCGACTTCCTTGTTTTATTTGAGTCTCATGGACGTCTCCGCATAGCCCAGGATATTTAAGGTTGCATTTTCTCGACTTGGGACATTTGGAGCAACCCGTGCCTCTTTCGTACACGGTCTTTCCGATCATGTTTCCCTGAGGCGCGTAATTACATGTCAGATAGTATTCTTCTACATTCTCCTGTTGGTTGAAAGATTTCGCCATGGCGCATCCTATGTGGGTGGTTTTCGCCCAAATCATTTGCGTGAAATGGCCGATATCGTGCCTTCCTAAAAATTGTTATGATTTACTTGCGTTAGTTTTACTGGAAAGTGGAATTAGATGAGGAAATATTTAATATAAACTGTTAGGTAAATACTGATAAGTAACTGAAAAGTAAATACTTAGTAATTTTTTAATTCAAAATTCGAGTACGTAACAAGTTAATAGAAGCAGGTACTTATACAACCATATGAGTAGGTAAATTTTTAACAAGTTAACTTAAATTATATACCAGTAAGCTAGGAAACCGGAAAGTATACATGTAAGTAAAATTTTAGAGCTAGTGTGGACAAATCCCGAATCTTTTGTAGTGGTACCATTGAGGTTACTTGTACTGTTTTCAGGATCAAGGGTTGTGGAAAACGGCGATTCGCTCGTTGATTCAGTAGTTAGATTGGTGGTAGATTCATAAGTAGAATTTGTACTATATGTTGTTGTTATGGTAGACTCTTGCTGTTTAGTAGTTTTTTTCTTTTTTTCGTTATTTTTGTCTTGTTCGCTTTGAGATCCACTTCCACCTCCACCTGCGCCCATGCCGAATCCCATCCCTCCGAAACCTCCCATTCCTGGTGCACCTCCTACTCCCACACCTGCAGCAGCATCTTTGTCATTCGAAATTTCTCCTATAGGAGGTTCTTTTGGAGTGTTCAATGGACTTTCATCCGCCTCACCGCATAGTCCAGGATACTGCTCGTTGCACTTTACAGACTCGGGACACTTGGAGCAAACTTCTCCCTTCTCGTAAACGCTTTTACCAACTTCCACACCAGGACCATAGTTGCAGACAAGCACGTATTGTTCAGTTTCGCCGGTTTTCTTCGCTTGGGCGCACCCTATATGGGTCGATGTGGCCCAAATGGTCTGGATAAAGCGGCTGATATTGTCGCGATCTGGAAAATCAGTTACCATAAAATTGGTTGATATCGTATTGATTTCAAAACGTACCTATTATATTCACTATAGAGTTTTTTGTTGATTTTTATCACTCACTTCTTTGTAACACTAGTTATTGGAATATTAAAGATGTTCGATTTAGTTTAATTGGTATCCCTTAAAAATTGAGTGTTGTATTCTTTATAGTAAATATAATAGTAGAATATGTGGTACTTTTAAATTCACGTCTCTTCCATACAAACCTTGAGGATTTATATTGTAGCGCAGTTAAATCTTCTAACGGTTTTATCAGTGAAATTACTTTTCGTAAATCAATTTTTTAGGGATACAATTAATGAATTACCTTTAGGAAATTTATCGATAACGTCTGGAGTGTTCAATGTTATTTCCTCGAACCAAGCGGCCACGGCCCCTCTCAGCTCGGATTGATTTCCGCTGGCGTAAAACAAGTTTTGCCCGGCGTTGGGGAACTTTTTGGTCGCCCTGCACTTGTCGTGTTGGAATTTGCACCTGAAACGGCCGACCGATCGGCGAAATGTGACGATAACGATAATTGCGGGTAATATCGAGCGGACTTACATGTTGGCGTTACAAGAAGCGGTGAATTCCAAGCCCTTGTCGTAGGAGAGGGCATTCATGTTGGCCGCCGGGCCGGTGTTTCCTCGGGTTTCTTTGCCCGTGGCGATTTCGTTCCTCAATCTGTTGTGCTCGTGCAGGATAAACTTCAAGAATTCTTCGTCGGGTTCGATTTTCTCGCAGCCGGGTTCCGTGGGGCAGGTTTCGCCGCGTTCGCAAACGATGTTCTGGACGGTCAAACCGCAATTGGGCCATTTCAACGGACATAACAGGTCAATCGAAGCGCCGAAAGAACACACTGTCACCACCAGGAAAACTGTGGGTAGTAGCTTCATTTTCGGATCTTTTAGAATCCCTTACTGAACCAATCGCGGATTTCTGAATGCGGGCCCCAAAATCGTGGATGTTTTTTACATGTTTGGTTTTTGATATCGCTCCGATTTCCGATTTGAGATTAAATTTGTCGGTTACGATTAAAAATAGATGTGTTCAAAAAAGTATTCAAGTTCATCGATAAATTTGTATTATGTTAAGACAAATTAATGAAAACACGAATACATAATTGGATAAATATAATTAACGAAACGCGTTAACTAGAGGAAACGTTACATAAAAATTAAAAGCTTGCAAAGGATGCGTAAAATGAAACAAATTAAAAACGACGGTGCTATTTAATTTGCGAAATACTCCGAAAAATCTCGTCTAACTGCAGTCAATGTAGCCTAAAAAAACGTGATAGAAAACCACACAACGTATGCTTACATCTTACACTATAAATTTGTTGTTTGTTGCCCATTTCATTAAGTTTAAGTGCATCATGACATAAGTATACGGTTATTACTGTAATTTTTCGAATTAACCACGCTTTGTGAGGTCTAAAATTTTTTTGTATCGCCTCTTACATTTTATCGTCGCCTCTTAATGACCCAATGAAAAGGTTTTATCCAACTCGAAAAGAGCTCGAGGATGAAACATCAGGCTCATTGAGTAATCGAAATACGTATTAATATTATTATTATTTCATTATCGTTTTTTAAATCTAGTAGTAAATAGGTATAGAAAACCCTGACATTTGTCAGTAGGTTTCGGATAACCTCAATACAAAATACAAGCGTGCCGGAAATAAAAAAACGTTAAGAAAATAAGTCTGAAAATTCCCATTCTCTAAGCTCTCGTCGGATTTTGGACTGCAAGAAACTTGTGACAGTGGAGTGCTAAAAATACAACAGATTTTCCAGCTGGATTTAATCTTATTTACCCGTACTTCGCATTGTTTATAATAAAAAAAATGTGTATTAATTTTAGTCCGAAATTTACATGCTTTTCATAAGTACATCAGCGCTTACTGTTAACAAAAAAAACTCCTTTTTTCGACACCACTGCCGTTAAAAACGTAACATAATTTTGGAGTTCTGAGGTCGTTGCCCAGACGCGTTGTTATTATTAGAATGATGCGGTCCTTAGTTTCATCAATGCCACTGTTTTAACTGTTTTAACGCAAATGCAGGCGCTCGACGTTCACAAGAAATCTTTTAACAAGAGCAGAACAACAACAAACAAATAAGAACGAAGAATAATTAGCAAGAAGACCTCAATCGCGACAAACAATTCCGTGAAACAAACTATAATTATTAAATTTCGCTGGAATTGCATCTCCAGTTGCAATAAGTAGGAATTGTTTGTTTTATGAAAAATTATTCCTAAACTAGATTCCTATCTTTTCTTCAAATTACTAAATGAAACCTGTGCACGAGAAGGTATGGAATTACACAAGAAATCCTCAATATAACGAACCGAATAAAAACATTTTAACTTTGTTGCCAATTTACAATAATTTTATTGCATTTTGTGCGTGTAACCTTGACTCAAATGCGGCGACATATTTTGTAAAACAACTTCATTTTCCGAATACTTATGTGTAACAGCGTGCACTTTATTTCGATATTGTACAATTTGTGTCGAAAAACGTTGATGGAAACAGCCATGAAACAGTACAATTAATCATTTTGATGATTTAATGGTAATAAAGGCGAATGAATAAGCCTTTCTAGTCGAGTTTAACAACCACAACGTTTACAACAGACTATGTCAAAAGTGGAAATAATCACGTGCGACCTTTGACAAAATCCATTAGCGAATATGTATTATACAGCGCCGGAGAATTATAGAAAATCTTCACAGGTAATATTCCAATATCATTATTTGTAACCACTCAATAAATAGAAAATACCAACAATCTTACTCATACCTATTCCGAGATAATCAGTTTGTTAATTCCAATTTACAAATCAAACACCGAAAATTTATAAAGATTAAACCTACAGTAAAAGGAAACGAGGAAAATTGTGTGTGACTGGGGCACTGAAATGAACAACCAGTTCCAAGTTAATTGGGAGAAAGAGCATCAGTGATTTAGACCCGAGGGAAGATTACCACACCACTGATTTAATGGGTAAGTCCGTATGTCGCGTCGGTGCTTAGGATTTATTATTCCATTCAAGTCGGGTTATAAAATTGGGAAATGAATTTTTACGATATCGATACGATTGTTCGGCGTGGATTTTCGATATGAAGCTAATAAAGAACTCATTTGTCCGGGAGTTTACTTCCTTTTGTGCGAGGTTCTTGATTTTATTATCCTATGAATCATGCCTTCCTTTTGTTTAGTTTTATTCCTTTTTGAATAGGATTAAACTTTTCAATTACTGCTCTGTGTTTTTACTACCAAATCTATTAACCTTAAAAAGTATATGGGATTTAATTAGGTACTAAACTCATCTATCAGTAGATACCTGAGAGGGACATAAATGTCTAAATGAAACTAACCAGTGATTAGTTTATTCAACTCAGATGTTGGTTAAAATTTTGTTAATTTATTTCTCTACATTTTTACAAATGAACATTTACATACAACGCAGTGTGCAGTAAAAGTTTTATTTGTTCCCAAACTTCCTGTTTTTAACAACGTTTTTTAACCCTGACCTGGGATAAATTCAGTCGAAACCGAACCAGTGCACAATGGTGTATCCCTGCTGGCATTGGTGCATCGTCCATAAAAGGCCATGCCAGCCAAACAATCGATGTTAAAGCAACATCGTAAAACAACAAATACAAACAACTTAATAATTGTATAATTACACAATATAATCAGTAATTAGTCCGGGCATTTTCAACCTTGAGCGTCTGTTGCTTAATACTTTTTCTGTTTCCTACATTGCACCACATAATAACCATTATATGTACGCAAGTTTATTTATAGAATGTGACATAGTTGCAGAGAAGGGCAAGAGAGAGGGAATAAAAATATAAGTGTAAATTCCATCATCATATCACAGGGAATTTGAAGAAGAAATACAAAATTCCGATTACCTACGTTTCGGCTAAACGTATAGGATAATATTACCATTTTGGCATGCGAAACAGTTCCAAAATCTGCATACAAATGCTCATTATGCACTCATTAAATCTGTGCAATTGTGCACGTTTTTCGGGCCGACGTGTCGACGAATTTCGACGAATATCGCATATCAACAGGTGTCGAACACGCCGCTCGCTTTAAAAACCGCCTGTAGACATAATAAAAAGTACAAAACCCCCGAAAGTGGCGACCTTTGTAAAAGAAAATCATTGTCGCGACGGATCGTTCCGAATCATAACTTCACCGAACAAAAGCGAACAGGATTGAAATGCATTCAAAGGATCTACTATAAGCAGATTATTCGCAATGAATTAAAGAATTATAAATTAGTAGGCCTCACCGGTTGCCAGACTTGACACCGCTTTATTTTGTTTTGCTTCGAGCTGTTGTATAAAAAATGGAATAATAATTGTTGATTGATGTGTATATAAACTAATGTAAATAGAATTCTAAAAAAGGCTTGTTTGTTTCCCATACTCGTGTATTGATTGTTTACTGCCGTTCTGAATATGGTTAGCAGGAACTCACAGAAACATAAGGTCATTTTTTTCAGTAACTACTAATTCCGGTATACTTTATAACGTCACGTAGGGGCCGTATAACGTTTTTTTTTAGATAGGCAAGAAATACTGAACTAGTTTTGTGGTTTAACGGTCGAGGAGTTCTAAATATGTTTGGAATAATTACAGCGTTTTTTTTTGGAAACATATCAAAATTAATCGAATTTTACTAGTAAGATAATATACTGAGTGTTATTACAAACTTAAGTAAGTACAAGTTTAATCCCAATTTATAGGATATTTATTCGAAACTAAAAATAACCAATCTGAATTAAAAAAGTTTTTACAGCAGCTAAAAATACACACAAATCTATAAACTAACCATTTTACTACATTCTTGCCTACTACATTTCCGTGTATTTTCGACTATTCAATACTTGAAACTAGCACAATAAAAATAAAACTAATTTATATCAAACTCATGTCAGATATTACCCTTTTTCAATACTTTATTAATTTACACGAATATCCTAAAGGAGTGATATTAAATTAACATCGACATAACTGAATGAATTCCTTGTTGGTTTTCAAACGAGTTTATTTCCATCCCGAGTCCGAGAAATTGAATCAGTTCTTCGTTAAAGCGAAAAACGTATACAGAGAAGGTTCCCAGAAAATTTTGTTTGTAAATCTTTGGCGAAATCGCTTCGGAAATGAGACCGTAAAGATTTCCCGTCCGATGAAATTCGATTTGTCTACGGACGAGTTGAAACAGCAGGTCAATTGCAAAGTGTCACAGCAGATGAAGATAACCATTGAGTGCACAAGAAACTTATTTATTCCGTTGACTTAATTTATTTAGGTGGATACAAGATATTCATCCGGATTGACAGCATTATACTATGTGGGAAAAAATGGACAAGAATATTCTATATTTTTATTATCTACAGTAACTACCTACTCAACTATAAATCTATAAAACAGATTATAATTAATAAGCTTATGAAACAAAATTATTATGTGAAATTATCTAGGTATTGGTAGTTCATATGCAGATTAGGTTTGTTAAAATTGACCAACGCATGAGCGCATTAATCCCACCGTGCATCTATCAGACCTCGTCCAATACAAAAAGCATTCACCCGAACCAGACGGATGATAATATAGCATCATTCTGGTAGGCGTACATAATAAATGACGGCCAGATTTGAATTGTATCATCTTTGGATTGATACCGACCAGCGTTTATTGTGCTAAGCAGGATAGAATGACAGCTAACCAAGCCGCATTTTGTCTCATTTGGGCCGTTTATGACACGACCAGTACTCGATAACTTTGCTATTAACTATTAGGTATGTTCAGAAACTTTATATTTGCTTCATGGAGGAGTAGTTTGTGCATCGATTGCTATAACTAAAATATAATAAGCTGTTATTTATAGGAGATATCACTTACCTACCATTTTTTATGCTCCATAGCTT